GCATAAGAAGACAAACTGATCTAATTAGGATTCGTTGAATTAAAATTTAAAAACTGATTCATGTAGCAGTGTTTGGATATTTTTATGAAAAGAATGAAAATCACAGGAAACCTCAAACAGCTGGCTGTAGTTTAGCAGACGTCACAATTATAGAATCGAGTTAGTGTTGTAGTGTTTGTTCATAACTAAAAACAGTATGTAACAGTTAGTCAGAAACACGTACCTTTCTTGGTTCCCCGTCCGCGAGACTTAAAAGGAAGTTCTTGTCTGATTGTTGGGGATCTCTCGCTAATCTGACAAGTAGTTGAGCTAATTTTGTGATAGACTTCCTGGAGTATAATTAGTTCAGATAATCTTTGATTAACATTTAAATTTGCAGGATCCTTAACTATCACACAACAGATCTGAACTATAGTGTGGAAGCTCCAATAACCAGCTACAAGTAAATCCATTTAACTTCATAGAAAATGTCCGTTTCAGATCTGTGTTGAAATGTTGTTGGGTGAAGCTGCACGAAATAGAAGCACACATTATTAGGCATTCCCTGGGAAAAAACAAACCAGATCGAGTATACGGGATAGAACGCGAGACACGAGGATGCAGGATGCGGTCAGTGCTTGTTTGACTTTTCGCAGCAAAGAATATTCTCGGGAAACATAGACCATCCTTTCAGTAATTTCCTTTGAAACATGCACACTGACCTGAAGGCACCACGGAGACTGTTCGACTTCCTTTTGCATTCAGGAGCACTGTCCAGAGAAGTGGTTGCAATTGTCCCTGTGAAGCCGAAGTCCAGCCTCTGAGACTCGGACTGGGTTTGTCTTTACAGTCCCGGGTTTAGAGAAAAAACAGAAATCTGAGAAGAAGCTGCTTTTAATGCCATCACTCGTGTTCAGTGGATCAGTATTACCGTGTGTTGGTGTTGGCTTCAGAGTAACAGCACATTCACGTATCTGAAGGGAGTCGGATGCTTTTTTGACACCCTCCCTGCTCTCCCGTCTTCTCAGTGTGACCCTTTATCGCTCCTTAAACCGTCCAACGCGACCGCGTACGCTCGGTCGTCCGACACGGACCTGCACCTGTGATTCAAGTGCCAAGAGTCTTCCCCGATCCTAACGTGTACTGTAGTCATCCTGCTCTCCGATTGCTAGTTTGATCCCAGGAACAGGCCGTGGCATTGGATGGACCTCGCTACGGCCCCTCCTCCCCGCCGCCGCGGAGGCTGGGAGGGGGAATCGGGTCCGTGCTTTTTCTTCCGATCAGGACGTTGTGTACCAAAGCCTTGAAACAGCCCCCTCTGTGGCGTGACGACAACGTGCAATTTCATACCGCATCTTGAAGACTGACTGTTTACTATTTGTGTAAAATATTTTTGGAAATGTTGTTCTTGAATTCTTTCACTACTGTGCAATTTCTGTCGTTTGAGAAACCCATCAAAGTCTATACTGCTGTACATATGAACCAAAAGCCCAATATTTCTATGAAGACAGACACAACATATATACAAATACACATATAACTTATTTTGAGATCTATTTTTATGTTGGTTTTAGCAGCACTAGCCAGAGGTACTGTGCAGAAATGCAGAATGTGTGCAGACCATGTTACAGATTGACTGTTAAGTGTTCTCTTAATGTTGTGCACTGACTTCGAGATTTCAAATTTCTATTTATGTAGGGAGCCAACGATTGCATTGCTGAATATGTATTGGTAAGGGTGTATCATTTGCCTTGAATGTAATGTATTATTAAATAAGAAGTTGTTCATGAGCCGCCTGCTCTCCTTCCTTTATGCTTTTCTTGCTAACGTGTGGACACTTTTAATAACGTCTACACTGCCTTAAGGTTAAAAACACCTTTTGCTCTGCAAAAAATACACCTTGACCGCCTCACCACAAGGGGGCAGCATTTTATTCTCGTTTCCCATCCTTGAAAAGAAATAAAGTGGGCTGCCATCCAGCAGTTAAGTTTGCTAGTAGCTTTAATAGTTCAGAAAGTCAAACACAATAAATGTATTTTGTCAGGAACACATAACATTAGTAAGATTACACGATGAAGCTGATATTTTAACCGGATGGCAAACAAAGGCTCCGTGTGTAAAAGTTACTCACTAGCTGTCAGGAGATTGCAGTCAACCTGTTTTCTCAACCCTCCAAACTCGAGCGCATAATCCGAGCTACGGTGGCCACTAGTGATGCGCGAATCA